TTCTACATTTGTAATAACTGGGGTAAGAATACCTAACACCAGGATTGTTGTGAGGGTTAAATGCATAAAAGCATGTATTTAGAATAATATTGTTTGAGACATGGAAGGGCTAAGTAAATGCAAGCTCCTGTGAGGTGATGGAAAAACACAGAGGTAGTTACGTGATAAGCTAACTTGTTTCTTTCCACCGATGACTGGGGTGCTTTAGCGAAATTTGCCTTTCTTTATAGAAGTGCAAATAGACTTTTGTCTTGAGTCATATTTTTCCTGCTCACAGTTGAAAAGCTGACACCATTTGTATATTTCAAGCCAGGTGAAGAGGAGCCAGCTTGAAGAACTCCCTTCCTTTTCCACTTAGATCAGTTGACAGAGACCCAACAAGGCTCTAGGGATAAACTGTCCAAGTTAAAGAAAAGATGGATTCTGGATCCACTGGAGTAGCTGGGATATCCATTTCTACGCACATTCAGCACCCCTGAGGCAGAGGCATCTTGGAAAGGAGTAAGCATCATGTCCCCATAGCGAGGTTGTGTAACCATGCACATCGTTGCTGAGAGTACAGCAAAGTACGTTCACTGTAGGCAGCCCAGCCCAGGCAGAGTGAAGCCCCTGGGACAGTGGCCTGAACTTGACACTATCGGTCTTAAATGGGCATGTCTTGAAAGCAAACCAATGGACTAACAAAACTACCCACATTCCCCTGACTCTTTTCCCAGAGTAAGACTTGGGGTCCTGGTACACTCTCAACAGTGAAAGAAGCTCCAGTGATGAACACAGAACACTTCTTGCTGCATTTTACAAGGGAGGGCTCCAAATGACACGTTCACACCGTGAATAGTATGAAGAAATCCTTATCTATTACCTATAGAACTAAACATTATTCCATTTTTGCCGCCTTTGAAAGAGGTTTCATACCAATAAATGCTTTGTCAGATATATGTCCTCAAAAGTACACTTTATTATAACGTCCTAGCAGCAGATACCGCAAGAAGGCTTTTATGCATTTATGTATTTGGTGCGGGAGATAGCGGCACCATTTGTTCAATGAATAGAAATGCACGATTTCAAAGAAACGTCCACACGTCAGAATCCATCTATCCTGTATCTGGCCACAGACAATCCTGAGCTCCTTATGCAGAGACAGCCAAATGCTATATCAGGAGGCCCTTCTTAGTGTCTTTAGGGGGTGTCCATTCAGCTTTTATATAAAAATTCTTCTCAAATGGGACCGGTGAACAAGAGCAGATTTGTTAATTATAGCAGAGTTATAGAATAGATCGTTAAATAGGTCAATGTTGGAGAGGAGTGTGAGCTCAGCAAAATTAAAGAAAAGAGCCTATAATACAGAATTGTACTAAGTGATCCTATTCCTGGGGAAAAAAATGTACACGTGGGCAAGCACTGTGAGGATGTCCACTAAAATGGTACCAGCAAGTCGACTCTGGATGGTTGAATTACGGATGATTCCGATCTTTCTCTATTTGCTTATCTATATTTTCTGGATTTGCCAAAATGAAGATGTTATTACCTCTGCAGCGGAGCCCATCCCCCTTCAAGAAATAGATAATTCTGGTGGGAGATAGAACTAAAGCTACTACAAATAGTTTATTGTCAAATTAGTTTCCACATAACACCCAGTGCTCATCCCCACAAGTGCCCCTCTCCGTGCCCATCGAACTAAAGCTACTTTAAGCAGACAATGAACTTAAGTAATCAACAGATGAAGACATCAGATGGCACTTAAAAAAATTTTTTTTAGTGTTTATTTTTGAGGGAGACAGACAGACTGTGAGCAGGGGAAGGGCAGAGAAAGAGGGAGACATAGAATCTGAAGCAGACTCCAGATGTGGGGCTCAAACTCACAAACCATGAGATCATGACCTGAGCCAAAGTTGGACACTTAACTTACTGAGCCACCCAGGCGCCCCCAGATGACACTTTTAAATGGAGTTAGTATATTGAAAGTTGCCACTTTAGAGCCTGGGTACTTGGGAAAAGACTTTAGTGTAAAAGAATCAGTGTAAAAGAAAAAGACTTTAGATACCTAGGAGGGTATATGGGCTCCTTGAAAGCTTAAGACAAAATGAAAAGGCTGTAGTCTGTTAACAGTATATTTTTCCCTGGCTCCCTTACATGTCAAATACTGGGCCCTTTGCCAGGCAGAAAGAGACCCACACTCCTTAACTGATACATATATGTATTTGTGTGTGTGTGTGTATTTATTTATTTATGTGGAAGAGGGGAAACCAAGAACCATGAGCCTGTGGGGGGACTACATCAGACCCAACCCCGGGCTGTACGTGGGAACCAGATGCAAGAGGAGCTCAGTGGCATGAATCTATGTGGGCTGACCACTGGATGGATACACCCTTGCCCACTCTCAAGGAAGAAAAGCAGTGTCCCTGGGGTTGTGCACATTACCCAGAATGAATCTGAGAGACGATTTACAATGAATGACGTGTTCCGATATTGGTTATTTCATTTTTTGACCTTTAAAAGTAGTCTGTGTCAGGGAGGAGGCAAGATGGCGGAGAAGTAGGGAGCTCCGTACATTTCACTCGCCCCCATCTCTCACACGGAGAAGGCCTGAAGCCATAGGAACTCTTACAGAATCCAGGAGTTTGGAAGGAAAAGGAGACAGAGTGTGCTGAGAAAAGCTTATAGTGTGAGTAGGAACTGTGGAAGATAAAATCAGGCCAGGAATGGAGACACAGAGGGAGAGGGGATCCCCCTTTGCGGGGAGCTGCGGTGAGTCTAAGGGAAAAAAGAAAGAGTGGCCAAAGCTGCTCAAGACACTGTCCCTGTCGCTGGAGAAGAGAAAAACCTCCGCTCAGGACACAGAGGGATCTGGTTTCCTGCTGTCCAGCTGACCCTAGGCTGGACGCACTCGTCCCAGGCGACCCCCGACCCCCGTGTGAAACTGCTCCCCATTCGCCAGCTCAACCTGGAGGGGATGCAAGCAACGGCTTGGGCTCCATCCCCAGGGGGAAGGCGAGAGGCTTGAAACTGCTCTGAGGGACTAGCCTGTGAGTTTATATTTCAGGCAATATCAATGGGGCATGCAGACTGAGATCTGGAAATGATGCCTGGCCTGGAATATAGAGTATGGCCCACCTTGGCTACGCCCCCGGCACAGGGAGATTGGACCCAAAAGAGTGAGTTGCAACGCTTGGTTCAAGAAGGGACTGGGGCACCACCACCCTCCTCCCCACAGCCACCAAGGCAGGACCCCCACAGGACACACTGGACCAAACAATGCCCATCCCCGCTAGAGAGCTGCCCTCTATTTTTTTTTTTTTTTTTTTTTAACCGGAGCTAGGGCAAGACCAACATGGATGCACCGCTCTGATTAATTCTGGTCACTGGCTTGCTTAGTCACATTTAAACCATTCTCTAGATATAAATTCTACACTTCCACCATTACCTTTTTATCTCTTTCTCTCTGGAGTAATCAGACTGTATCGTTTCTCTGAGTAGCATAATTTTCATTTCTTTCACCTCCTCTCCAACCATATTCCCCTCTTTCTCTCTCTGAATTAAGCCTCTTGGTCTTTCTGCCTGCTCATTTCATTTCCAATTTCGCTTCCTCCCCGCCCTCTCATTTCTCTCTTTGTATATGCTCTTCCATCAGCACAGCATACATTCAGCTTTTTATTTGTAGCTGGGAATTCTGGTTCTATGCTTTAGACTGTCCTTTGTTTATTGAGGCTTTGTCTTTTTCCTTTACTTTTCTTCTTTTTTCTTTTTTCGTTTTTATGTATTTTTATTTTTATTATTCGTCTTCCCTCCTTCCTCTTTTTTTTTTTTTTTTTTTGTATGTGTCCCTTTTTTCTTTTTCTTTTTCCCTTTCGGTTTGCGTGTTTGTTGGATTTGTCTGTGCGTTTGTGTGCCTTTGTTCCCTGTGTGTTTGTGGGTCTATTTTCTTTTCCAGGGCTACTTCAAGAAACAAGCCAAAGTACACATGATGGAGAGTCCCAAATACCACTATGAGTAGGAAAATAAAATAACCACAGTCTCAACAAGAGAGACCAAGAGACACCATTCAAAGAACACTTTCTGAACGGACAGGCCCTGGACAGTCAAAGAGCCTTCTTTGGTACAGCAGCGCTCACAGGTACAGAATGCACCTTTAAAACAAGGTTTTAAAACTAACAAGAGATAGAAAGCTAACCATAATGACGAAATGGAAGAACTCTCCCCCAAAGAAACTCCAGAAAGAATTGACAGCTGAAGAACTGCTCATAACAGATATAAGCAAAATAACTGAACAAGAGTTTAGAACAATAGTCATAAAATTAATCGCTGGGCTTGAAAAAGTAGTCTGTGTCACTGTTAACATGCAGTCAGTGGTTACTCTGGAGAGGTTCATTCGGAGCAACCACAAACTGGTTGAAATTGATTCAAATGAAGTAAAACTAGGGAAAGCTCTTGGACTACCTCCAGATTTCAAATCTGTTTTCATGTCAGAGGGAAAGAAAAGAGTGGAAGTTTTCCTAGTTCTTAGTCTCTTTAGTTTTGTTATTTCTTGTCTCTCTCTCTGCCTCTCTAAAACATTCAGGACTCTTCACTTCTTAAAATGTGAAAGTGAAAGTCAGTTAAAGTGCTGTAAGTCTTCTAATTCACTAAAAAGGGCATCAGATGGGACTTTTCATTCATATCTCACTTGCATCAGTCTTTCTGGCAACCTAGAAACCCCGGGAAGAAGACCAGACGGTAGAGAGGAGGCTGGGAATGGACAAGTCAATGCAGTAGAGAAACATCATGGTACAGAGTTAAGAGCCAGATTCTGGCCCCACCACTGTAAGCATGTCTTAAGATAAGTTGCTGACCCACGTGGAATCCCTTCAGCAACCTGCTCCGAGAACGAAATTATTAGTATCATTAGACAAAGAGGCGAGCCTGGAGAATAAAGCTCTTAGAACAATGCCCGGAATAGAATTACTGCTACATACATGTCAGTTAAATGCACTTATTCAACACCCAGCCAATCACAACTATACCTTGTCTGTTTCCAAAGAACCCTGCTTCAGTCAGTGCTGCTTCCAAACCAAGGAGTGCAGTTTTCCAGAGCCTGAGAAATCAAGCATAGTTACCATCAATTAACTTTCAAACTGACATTCTAGGTTGCTTCTTCATATGACACGTTTTAATACTCACACTCTTATTAAAAAACACCCAGCTTAGGGAATAGTACTACAGATGAGGAGAAGCTGCTACCTGTGGCCTAAGATACTGTGGTATATGAGAAGGTTCTCTTCCCCTTAAGTATTTTATAACAATATTCTAGAACAGGGAGTTGACAAAGTGTTTTTGGAAAAAGGCCAATAGTAGATATTTGGGGCTTTTTTGGCCACATATGTTTCTGTCCCTGCTGCTGCCTTTTTTTTTTCAACTATATATCCAACCCTGTAATGAATGATGTAAACATTTTTAGCTCAGGTGGCCAGAACAAAAGTTTTAAAGGTAAGCTAAAAAGAGTTTATTCTTTAAAGAAATGTTAAACAATAAGAACAACAAAGAAGTGACAGACGCTTTGGCTTACAAAGCTTAAAAGAGTAACTAACCGAAATAATCACTACAGAAACATATTTGCTACAGAGAAAGTACATGTCATTTCAGAGAATACATAATCATCTCAGAGGATGCATAAAAGCCATTTGACATTTGACAAAATCCATTCCTGATTGAAAACTTTCAGGAAACTACTAAGACAATTTCCTTAATCTGATAAAAGGCATCTAAAAAATCTATAGACAACACCATATTTAATTATTAAAGACTGAATTAAAGTTCAAAAAGAAGAAAAACATGTTCCCTCTCACCATTTCTATACAATATTGTACTGGAGGTTCTAACTAGTCCAATATGGCAAGAAAAAGAAAAGCATCCACATTGGAAAAGGAATAAAAATGTCTATTCACAGAGGATAAATTTGCCTCTATAGGAAATCTGACACCGTCTTCAAAAAAACTTTAGAATAAATGAGTTTAGCAAATTTGCAAGATACAAGATCAAAATGCAAAGCTCAATTGTATTTGTAAATACAAGCAACAAACAAATCAGAAATTGACATTTTAAAAGTACTACGAACTCCTTAGGATAAATCTGACAAAAGATGTGTAAAACCTGTAATTGAAACCACAAAATGTTGTTGAAAGAAATGAAAGAAAATCTAAATAGAGAGCTATTCCACATTTTATAATTCAGAAGACTCAGTAGTAAAATGGCAATTCTCCTAAAGTTGAGGTATAGATTCAACATAATCCTAATAAAAACCCCAGCAAGCATTTTGACAAGTTTATTCTAAAATTCATGTGGAAATGCAAAGGACCTAGAAGAATAGCCAAAAAACAACTTTGAAAACGAAATTAGAAAACTAATAAATACTATGTGATTTCAAGACTTACTATAAAGCTACAGTAATGAAAATCATATGATACTGACATAAAAATCAACAGAGTCCAGAAATAGAATCACACATATGTGGGAAAATGATCTTTGACAAAGTTGAAAAGCAGTGTAGAAACAATAGTCTTCTCAATAAATGGTGTTGGGAGAATTGGATAGAACATGCAAAACAAACAAAAACTTGGAGCCATACTTTGAAGTACCATTTACAAATGATAAACCAACTCAAAATGGTTCATAGGACTGTATATAAAATCAAACTATAAAACTTATAGATGAAAACAGAAGAAAGCCTCTGTGACTCTGAATTATATAACAATTTTTTGGCTATTACACCAAAACACAATCCATAAGAGAACTGACTATACTTTATCAAAATTATAAGTTTCGCTATTTTTATTATAATTATTATTTTTTAAGTTTCGCTATTTTTAAAGTTTATTCTTGAGAGAGAGAGAGACAGAGAGACAGAGAGTGGGGGAGGGGCAGGGAGAGAAGGAGAGAGAAAGAATCCCAAACAGGATCTGCACTGTTAGCTTAGAGCTGGACATGGGGCTTGAATTCACAAACCGTGAGATCATGACCTGAGCTGAGATCAAGAGTCAGACACTTAAATGACTGAGCCATTGAGGCACCCCGTTTTTTTTTTTAATGTTTTATTTATTTCTGAAAGAGAGACATCATGAGCAGGGGAGGGTCAGATAGGGAGGTGGATACAGAATCTGAAACAGGCTCCAGGCTCTGAGCTGGCAGTCAGCACAGAGCCCGATGGGGGCTCAAACCCACGAACCGTGAGATCATGACCTGAGCCGAAGTCAGATGCTTAACCAACTGAGCCACCCAGGTGCCCCGACACCCTGTTTTTTTAAGTTTATTTATTTTCAAAAAAGAACGTAAATTTTGCTCTTTTAAAAGACACTATTAAATAAAAAGACAAGTTACGCACTGGGAGAACATATTTGCAAATGATATATTTAATAAAGGACTTATATCTAACATATAAAAAGAACTTTTAAAAATAATAGATGGGGTTGCCTGGGTGGCTCAGTCAATTAAGCATCCAACTCAATTTCAGCTCAGGTGATATCACGGTTCATGACATTGAGCCCCCACACTGTCAGTGGGGAGCCTGCTTGGGATTGTCTCTCTCCATCTCTCTCTGCCCCCTCCCCCCATTTGCATGCTCTCGTACTCTGTCAGAATAAATAAATAAACTTTAAGCTAAAATAAATAAACTTAAAAATAACAACAATAAAAGGTGGAGAGGAGAACAGGCTTACACAGACACTTCACCAAACAAAACATGTGAATGGTAAATAAACATAAGATATTCAATATCACTAGTCATTAGGGAATTGCAAATTTAAAGCACAACGAGATATCTTTAAACCTACTCTGGATAAAATCTAAAAGACTATGTCAAGCTTAGGTGAGGATACAATGCGTACACACTGGTGGTGGGAATGTAAAATAGTACCTCCACTTTGGAGACAATTTGGTAAGTTTCATTGGCACTTCAATATAAACCTCCATATTGTTGCAGAATCTGGTCTGAATTACCCGGCAGAAGAACCAAGTGGTACTCTGAGATCTTGGAAGGGAGGAGGTTTATTTTACACCAGTGGGCTCAGAGGAGATCATTCTCCAGAGGTCTGAGCCCAGAGCATCAGCAGAGGAAATAATTTATAGCCTATTACTTTCACATTCCTCATTACTGCATGTGACAAGCAGGGCGGGAAGAAGAACCCGGAAGGGGGAGCCTCTGATCAGGGACAGGTATTTCCTTATCAGTCCTGTCAGCCACCTTTATAACAGATTTTTCTCTATCAATATGATGAACCAGTCAATCTACACACAAAATAGCCTCAACCCACTTTTTAAAACATACCACACACACACACACACACACACATACACACCGCAAATTGTGAACCTAATATAAGCTATGGACTTTAACAATAATGTATCATAGTGGTTAAGAAAAATAAGGATCTTTCTCTTGTGGGGGTGGGGATTCCAATACACCCTAGAGTACATATATGCACTTCTCTTAATCCTCCAACAACCTCTCTATCCCTAGTACTTACTTGGGCCTTGAGGCATTTGTAGGGCAGCATTTTCCTTAAGTAGCCAAACCACTTGATGTGGGAAGAGGGCAGACTCCAGGCATTTGCTTCTGTGAGAACTGGAAGTGCTGTGAGTGCAGAGGATTTGTTCCCCTAGGGTCAACTCTGTTCCGGCAAGTCAGGCCCAGGGTGAAAGGTAGAGGCTGAGTCTCTGATCCACCGGAGTTTTGGATCTTCAGGAGTAGCACACCAGCTCTCTTTCTGCCCCAATCATTCTGCCTCTTCACTTCAACAGGCTTGCTTCCCATCTTTATCAAGAATGGGGCTCCTTGCATTCTCTGCCCCTCCCCCTCTCCCTGACACTCCTTTCTTCTCTTACACAAAGCCCAATTCATTTTCGCCATGAAGGGCTCCGTCCAAGTCCAGTTTTGATCGCACTTCCCTAGAGAGTTCAAACTCGGAATTTTGGAAATCTTTGAGGTCAACCCCTCACTTTACAAATGAGGTAATGGACCCCATGAGGTAAGGTGACTTTCTTAGGGCCACATGGCTAATAATTTGTTTTATCTCCACCTTCACACTGCAGTTGGATAACCCAATGGCTACCATGACCATATGGCCAAGGTTTTCTGTCTCAACTTCAAATGTTCTGTAGAGTCAGTCACCAGGCCACATTAACAATTTCACTATCTAAAAAGCATTGGAATTTCTACTGCATATGCGTTAAGAGGGAGCTTCTGGAAGCAATAAACTTATTTCCATTACTGAGTCCCATTTTTCAGTTCTAAAGCACTGTCTTTTACCTTTTTAGGATAATGGACCCCTTTTAGAAAACCAATGAAAACTATGGACCTTCTCCACACAAAAATATTTACACAGAAACATAAAATTTTGCTCCAGTGATTTAAATATCCACTATCTGACCATGAAAACCCTTGATCAGATAGTACAAATGTTAGCGTGTCTGCCATATGGACAGGGAATATTTTTAAATGGCTCTTAAATCATAACAAAAAATTGCAAGTATTTATGTAGTACAACAGCTTACAGAGCACATTTAATCCTCACAACAACCCCGTGAGGTAGGTATTAGTATCCCAATTTTACCCATGAGGAAACCACAACCCATAGAGATCTGGAGATTTTCCAGAGTTCACATGGGTAATAATGGCAGTGCCAGCACTAGAACACAGGCTTTTTGTTCCTTGTTCAAATCACCTTCACATCTAATATTTTCATTTTTGAGATTGGGGTCCTTCCCAGCTACCCAAGGGAAACTCAATGGCAAGCCATTTCCACAAGGGTTTTTAAAAAGCAAACAAGTGTGAGGGGACCATGAGAGAGGACAGATTGTAGCCTGTCATGCGTTATTCCCAGGCAAGGATACCATAAAGTGTGTCATTAGAATTGCAGGCCTTTGGGTACAGAAACCACTATTTAAAGGAAAACAAAACAAAACCAGATGCCAGAAGTGGTTAAAAAAAAAAACCCACACAAGTTTTGGGGGTTTTGTTTTGTTTTTTTCACTGTAGTAAATTGTCTGGCCTTTTTCCCAAAGAACAGCTGAAAGTCAGTTGGGACAAGAGCCAAAATCATCTGAGCAAAGGCAGTACACAAACCAAAAGGGAAATATGAGAGCCAGAAAACAAACTTCCGAACTTTATAAAAGATTCAGATGCTGGGAAATTTGCTAAATAGCCATAGAGAAATACCTCCTATAGGAGAAAGCAGGGTGAGAACACCTAATCAACCCATAAGCCAGAGATTTCAGAATCTCCATAAAGTTTCTGGCCATATTCTTGATGACACAGAACTCCTTTCTTGGCCATCTACTCAAAGGAGCAAAGATGGGCAAGCTACTCACTTGCCCTTGTTGCTGAGGCTGTAGAGCTCAGCTAGATCAGTGGAAATTGAATTCTGTCCAAGGACTGTGGCAATTTTGGGAAAGCTCTCAATGGCCATGGCAAGTGAGAAAAATATGGCATTGTGGTTTAGTAAAGGTATCTATCCAACTTAAAGCACTGGCCGTCATCACAGGACCTTGCTCCACCAAATGCTCTTTGAAACATCTGGCGAAACGTCAGTACTAAGAGTTAATGTCCTTCACCTGGCTTTGTGTCTTTGGATGAGAGTATCTATCCAGCTAGTGCCTTAATTCCAGGTTGTCTCAGGCTGTGGCCAGGCAACTGTAAGTCCCTCCTCCAATTAGCTTCAGCAGCAGCGAATACTTTCAAAATAAGCCATGTAGAAAAGGTCTCCCAGGTCCAGTTAGGATCTACCAATCTGGTTACACCACCCCCCCCCCCAAACTCTGGAAACTTAAAGCTACTCTTCAATGCCTGATTTACAAAGCAAACCTAGATTTACCACAAAGATGACTCCCACAGGAGGCCTACCTTCTGGGTACTCTCTGTACCCTGCACCTGCTAAGAATATGGAAGTTTTTAAATACCTGCACAAAAGCTTCTCCCCCAAAGAGGTTCTCACATCAAGGGGTGAAAACCTAGGAGCTTTTTGTTCTGTTCCTCCACCAGCCTCAGCAGAGGCCCTTAGCCTGCCCTTAAATGCTGGTAGAATATTCTCCAATATGAGAATATTTGTTCTCCAATAAGCATTATTTGTTCTCTGGTCCTTGGGCTTCCTGGACCTCCAGGACCCAAAAACTGGACACTAAAATGTTTCCTTCAGTTTTGCCACTGTTATTTTGGGATAAGGGGGTTTCTTCTTTCTTCTTCGTTTTGTATTTTTCAAATCTCTCACAACTTCCTTGCTCTCCCTTTTGCACATAACACGATGGCCAAGGAAGAACTCAAGGCGAATTGCAGCCAGACCACTCACAGCAGCACAGAGGCACTTCAGGGAGAGATAACATTACCCCTGCCACTGTGCATGTGATGTGGCACGGGGGACACAGGAAGCATGATGTTCCTGATTCCCAAAGAGAAGCCAGAAGGACAGTATGAATCCTTTGTATACATGTGTCATCTGGTCCTCTACCCTCGACCCTGGAGCAATTTCACAGGTAACTGCAGAACCCATTCTGGGGGTCTCTTGTTTTCTTAGGCCCCTCCTTACATACACACAGAAAAGGTAGTCCTTGGAAACCCACTTCTCACCCCTACGCCCTACTGCCAGCCATGACAGTCAGCCATGACCTTATCTTCCTATGACATCGGGGCTCTTCTGGGGCCAGGAATGAGTCTTGTTAATCTTTTATCCTCAGTACCTAGCTAGAACTTGTCAAGTGTTTTTAGGAAAGAAAGGAGGAAAGAAGGAGAGAGGGAAGGAGGTTTTGTCTCTGGTTTTCTTGTTTCTGCCATAGCCTTCTCAGTTTGTGCCCTTTCCTCAATGTTAACTTATCTTTCACAGAGCTTCTGCCTAAGTAGAAAGCTAAGAAGAGTATCATGTGCCTACAAAAGGTCAAGGCCCACAGGTTCAGTAAATAGAAGTAATGAATTCCCTTTCCCTCTTGCCTTATTCCAAAGGATGAGAAATTTCTATTCATGTATCTCCTAACCTATTCTCTGGCTTCTTTGAAGTCACCCCAAAGGTTCTTCCAGTTACCATCAACCTAGGAACGGGCACTTTCAACGGTGCGCATCCTCACCCAACATGGGAGGCCTTTTGTCTTGCAGCACTCTGCTCCAAGGACGCAGTGCTGGGTTGTCTTTTCAAGAGACAGCAAAGACCCCAACCAACACCTAGAGGCTGGGGAAGAGTCCTTGCTCCACACCCCTGCGGAGTGGTGCCAGGTCCTCAAGTCCCTGCCCCATTTTCCGATCATAATCCAGTCTCCTGCAGGGCTGATACCTCAGCAAGCTCTCTCTTGCCAGCTCTAATCTGTGTTCCAGAGGCTTTGGGCCTCATCAGATGATCTCCCAATTGGAGGAAGGGATAGAACTTAGGCTAGTTGGGAATTCAACTGCAGGTTCCCACCAGAATCCAGCACTCCTTACCACCTAGACAAACAGCACAGGAGGCAGGTTTTGAGCGGGGAACAAACACCTCCTGCTAACTTTAGGCACTTCAGTGATGCTCGCATGGAGGGGAGAGATAAGAGACGAAAGAAGCCAGTTACCAGCAAGACTTTTCCATTTTAGAAGATGGTTTTACAACTGATTCTACATCTCTTATTCTTCCTATTAGGAACATCTAAGCAGACCACGGAGATGCTGTTTAGAGTGACTATCTGCCTAACAATGAATATCACGTATCATCCCCCACCCTACTCCAGCTACTCTGACACCACTCTCCAGACCTTGCATACCGAAGGGTATTCAGTCCCCAGATTGGATCCCAAAATCTTAACAGCCCTTAAAATTACATCTGGGCTGCTTTTTAGTTATCTCTGCTATATTGTTCCTGTTTTCCAGGCCCCTTACAGAACAGGGTGCTAATTCAGGCGAAAGGAAGTAGTCATTTTCTTCTAAGTCCACATGTGTCCCTTAGGTCAGGGGTGACTATCCAGTGATGTCGCACTCTCTTTTCTTCTGGGTCGCTGATGACTGTGGTTAAGTCCTCTCTAGTTATGACTACTATGAATATGAACATTCATATACAGGTTTACCCTATTTAAAAACAGGGCTTAATAGGTTCCCCACCTTTCTTACCACCCCAATTGGTATCTGTTTCATTACAGGGGTTCAGGTTTCCAGAAACAACCACCCCCCAGTCCCACAATGCCCAGCAACTCTGGTGAGCCCACATCCAGATTCAACCTAACATCTCAGGGTTCCAACTTAGGACCACCACAAATGTCTGCTGCATTAACAGACAAACTTGGGAGCCCTATGCAGCTCACACACCCTACTTTACCTTGTCATCCCGAATGTCTGCAGCAGGGAGGGAACTTACTTAGGGCAATAACATCATGTTTAATCCCTTGAACCTAACAGCACATCTGTTAAGTGACTTTTCCAATGACATCAATATGATTTAAAAGTAATTTTGTTAGTTTCCCCCCTATCTAGTAAGAAGCGATGGATGGTGGGGGATATGTAGTTTCACCATAAGAGACGCAGGAGAGGGTTTTGATAGGGAAAAGAAAGTAACAGAAGGAAAATAGGTTATGTCCTGGATGGTAGTAACCCCTAAGGACTGGTAGTGACAGGAATCCGTGAGCTGGGTGGAGAGGCTGAGTGGGTGAATTGGTTGCAGGCTTTACTAAAACGACTACTAGTGTCTCACGGAAATCACTCAAAAGATCAGGAAACATGTCTGCTCCCCTCTTGCAGAGAAGCTGGCTAAAAGTCCTCAGCCTGACCTAAAGAGAAGTTATCAGCCCAGTTGGCAGCTCGAACTCAGTATCTATGCGTGTAACTACAAATTTCACCCAATTTAATATCCATTCTATATCCCCTCTTCCCATGACAGGGTTTGAAAGTTCCTCGTGTGCCCACCACAAAGGGCAGTTGCATTATTTAAGGTTTGTGCAGTTCTGACCCGGTCACCTTGTAGAGAGAATTCCCCCCCCCCCCCCAAGGCCACTGTCACCACATGAATATATGGCTCTGCTACAGTTCAAGACCTAGGCAACAGTTCAGATTGGGGGGTGTGCAACTCCGCTGAGCCTCCCCATGGGTCTGCAGCGACACATGAACCTGGATCAGTGAACCCAACGGCAGGAAGCCGGGCGGGCAGCGGCCAACGCCTTCCAACGGCAGCCAGGGGGGCTCCGGGCGCTGGGGTCTCCAGGGTGACGGGCAGGGGCTAGCCAGTGAGGATAGGGTTTCTGGGGCTTTCTCGGCAGGAGCCTGGCCAATGGCAGAGCTGGTGTGCCGCTAGCCACGCCCCTCGGCAGCCCCGCCCCCGAGCGCCAGTGTGTCCCGCGTTCTGCGCACAGAGCTTTCCTCCTGGCCGCACCTGGTCTCTGCTGCAGACGTTGGGTGTGCCCCGTGGAAGCTCGCCGGTGGCAGTCTGGGGCTCTGCCCCGCCTGCCGAGGCTTCAGCGGCGGCTTCCTCCCCGTCTCCTCCAAGGCCACACAGGCCGGCCCCACTTGGGCCCGCTGGATGCTCGGAGATTCGCTCCGAACTGGACCCAGGGAGGCCGCCTGCTGTGGCCCTCTCCTCCCGCACTGGCTTCTAGCCCCGTCTCCTTGGTCTGAATCGGTTGGACACTCAAATACCTTTCTGGATCATGAGGGCGGAGCAGGCGTCCATTTCCCAGGAGCCATTTCCCATTTCCGCGTTGCTCCCTGGAGATGGAGTGCTCTCACCCGCTCCTTCTCCCTTTTCCCTCTCCCCTGGGCGCAGAGGCCCTCCTACCGTGCCTCCGCTTCCCAGCCACACGTCCTTCCCCCACCTGAGGATAAAGAGGCCATCGTCCCAGCAATCTTGCTGAGGCCTTCTTGTCTGGAATTGGAGGCCTCTGATCTCCTCTCACTCCCATGTTTCTAGCCCTCTGGGTCCTTCTGGCACTTTCTTTGCTGTGCTTTGATCACCCTTTCCCAAGTCTC